ACAGCCTTGACTAGTTCAGGTTTTTTGGACTAGCCATATAATGATTCTCTGGAAATTCCTTTCAACAAAAACAATTCTGTGGTCTAGGTTATATTGTTGACAGAATATTTGGAGCTTTTGGTCAGCTGGGAAATGATTAAAATGTTTTAAAGGTGTTTTTTTGTATTGGTCACTCACAAATGAAATACAGATGTAAAACTGCTTGAGCTATAAATCTGGCCTCAATCATTCCTAACATTTCAACATTATACTGTGCAAAATGGCCTCCACTTAAGTAATTTCCAAATGACTGAACTTCACGTTTTTCTTCTGTTATTGTCATCAACCTCACCAGATGTCATAATCAAGGAAGGGCCACTAATGAGAAGCTGCTGGTAAATTTGGCATGTCTCAGTCACTTCCATGTGAATACCTGGAGAAGACTGAGCATCCACAACAGCCAATGTGAATCAAAAACAAAACTAAGGGTAAGAGCATGGATGTGAGCTGCTTTTTCAAACCGCTCGATATAATCAAAAGAAATAGCCCTGTCAATGTATACAAAGCAATAACCTGACTCACAAACAAGGTGAACCTTTCCAGTCTTGTGTTTCCCTATTGCACTTTACAACCAGACCTAGAAAGACAGCTGTCATCTGCACCTCGGTGAGCATGATAAGAAGTGACTAGTTTGTAACCAACACAAGTCTGTTGTTTATATTCATACATCTCAGCTACACCACTGACAGATAAAAAGTTACAAATACCTCAGTGCTCCATTAGATCTCTTTTAAGATTAATGTATCAAGATGAAAAAGAATGATAAAATTAGATTGTTCTCTTGCTGCAGATATTGCAGTCACTGAGTCTTTCCACAGTTAACTCTTTCTTACACCAAACAGACATTTTCCAGATATTTGCATGGCTTAACACATCTGTTTACATATTTCCTCAACCAGACAGACTTTCTCACTGATTGAATCTGAGAAAACCTATGGAGAGAGAGAGAGAATATGGAGAACAAAATGTGTACAACATATTTCTCTTGATGTATGTTTTCATCCCAGCTGCTCTTGTAATAGAGATGTCTGAGAGCATTTTGGACGTGATGAACTGTGACCTTCAGTGAGCAATGGCCCATCCCCAATACACAGAGCTAAACTTTCTCAGACTGGGGATTGTCCTCATCCTCCCTACGGTGTGTAAATTTCCTTTATGTAGATCTTCATGATAGAATAAGCCAAAATCCAGGTCTGAACATTCAAATATATTGGATAAAAATCTAACTCCAAGGCCCCTGTGGCTGCACTTTATGATTGTACAGAGAAGTGTACAGCTGAAACCTGTTTGTAAACAGTTTGTTGAATGAGAACTAAGTTACCATCTGGCTTCTTTGTGTAGCTTTCCCTTTTTGCTCTTTTGCAAGTTCTTGCACATGGGAGAATTAATATTTTTGATGGAGAGTGAATTTTGAGCCTATGGTCAACATGCATATCTAATAATATATCTAAGAAATAGAAATTTTTTTGCTGTTTAACTTTGTAACAAAGGTAATGTATTTCATTCAAGTAAGGTTATGTAGTCATGACCAGAAATCATGGCACGTGTCCTGAATGACCAGGCACAGAGACTAAGCAGTAAGTTGTGTACACTGGATAAACATATGTTAAGACATAGTTTGGGAAGCACCTGGTGCTCTGGTCCCCAGGGAAAAGCTATATTGGCTCTATTAAATAAAAAGAGGATAAATCGCCACAATCTGCCTAGAGGAAATTTGTAAACAGAGGGGCTGGAGAAAAACTATATTGAAAAATTGTTCACTAGTCCTAATGATTTAACAAATACAGTATGGATATTTTCGTAGTGGAGAGGATGATGGGATGTGTGTTAGAGAAGGCTGGATTGAATCCAGGCCTCTAGGATGATTTTCTGTGACAGTTTGGTTAATTATAAGAACCACATGAAAAAAGGCATATAAACTTCACCCTGTTCTGTTTTAAAACTTCCCCCAGAGCATAAGTCCTTCTTTAAAGGTTACCCTCTGATATGTAACACGTCCCGTGTTGTTTTGCTAAGCTATGACTCTGTAATAAGTGTTTGAAATTTACAGCTTCAGTTAGTCATAGACTTGAGAAGTGTTTATTTTTTCTCAGTTGTTCTTGCTATGTAATGAATGCAGCTCACCGAGCGCTCCGACTCCAGGCCTGGCTCTGGCGGCCGCCGCCTTTCCAAGAAGCAGCGCATTGGCGGCAGCGCGATGAGGCCTCTGCCCGTTACTGACTCAGAATTTGCAGGCTGGAGGAGAGGCTACAGCCGAAGTCACACAAGGTCATTTCTGGCTGAACTGAAAATAAAGCTCATGTTTTAAAGGCAGCTTAGGAAAATTGCAGCCACTTACCCATATTGGTTTGCAGAAAGAGTCTGTCTGCCTATTTAGATGCGGTGGTTGCAAAATAGGGGGTTCCTTTCCCATAAGTAACTCATTTGTTTCGGTGAGTTAAAATTCCCTTTTTGGATAAAGGTCTGTGACTGCTGGCAGTCATTGTGATTAATACCATGCTGCAAACAGCTCAGGGTCTCTTGCACAATGGGAGCTGCTGTGCATCAAGGATCCTGGATCTTCTTCAGGAGCCTTTAGAAGCATGTGTTTGTATTTTGAGAAAAACTGAGTATACTTTATGGGAAAAGGAAATGTCACCATCAATGCTAGATATATGTTCTGTAGATGACTAATACTGCAACTAAATCCAAATTAAAACTATGCTTCTGGTCATCAAGACTGGTTAGCAAGTGTTTACCGTTAAGTAGTTGATTTATTTAGTGTTTCCATAATATTCTTAACAATAGCTGCATGGCACTTAAAGAAAGATTTCTTTCAAAGAAGATCTTTGTAGCCTTTTGCTGTGGGGAGAGCCTCAAGCTCTGTGCCTTGGCATGCTGTAGTGACTGTACTTGTTTGGATTGCCCAAGGATCACCCAAGGATCAAGTGGTGATGCCTTTGCCTGCTGCTGAGCTTTCACAAGCCTCAACTGCAGACACCATCTGGTATCTCCCTGTACCAGCACCATGCAGGTTTATATCAAGGATAAAGAAAACCTTAGATAGAATCAGAGAATCCCTTTTAGAAGTGCATTGAGAGGGCTGTGAGCATGGGCCTCTGAAAATGCAATGGAGGCTTCATTTAATTACTCTGTGTCCAGAACCTCTGCTCTGCACAGCCTGTAGATATCTGCCTTTGTGTGGTGTGAGGCAGAAAAAATGCCCAGGGTATTTTCACTGCAGGGGCTCCACTGTACTTCCTGTGAGAGGCTGGAAACTGCTTGCTTAGGGTTTGGCAGAAGCCTGAACTGATAACTACTGGCCACACAGGCTATGGGACACATGGACCTGGGTCACAAGGTCTGCCAAGAACTCAGGGCTCAGGGAATAATCTCACAGGCTGCATTTCAGTGTAAATTATTTCCCTCTGAAAAATATTCCTTTTCCAGGGCTTTACTGGAACATAAAATGTGGCCATTAGGAGGTGGAGGCTGCTTCAGGCTTGCTGATTGGATTAAAATATAATTATTTCCTGCTCTCCCTAAAACACTTGGTACTCAGTTGGGGATGCTGCAAAGAGGATGCACTCCCCTTGCCCAGGAGCTGAATAGGATTTCTCTTCATTCAGCAGAATGGAAAAGAAAAATAGAGACTATTACATTAGGGACTTCTATGTTGTTGTACAAATAATTGCTTGGCATCAGAGCAAAGCCAAGTAACCCCATCAGCTCTCATTCACAGTCGACCAGCAGCAGGAGGGTCAGGTTCATTACCTGGGGGATCCTGCTCAAATGCAGGCTGCAGTCCAGCAGGGAGGCGTCAAGAAAGAGTGGAGGCAATGTAATCAGCTCTGAGTGCAGAAGTTACAATCCGTTAGAGGAGGGAGCTTATAGCAAGCATCCTGCAATGAGTGAAGTGAGACTGGGCCTGAAGGATGAAGGAAATCAGGGTGGAGGATTTTCTGGCTTTTGAGGTTTTATGAACCTTGCAAACTGTTTTATGGGTTCACAAAGCTAGTTGAGTCTGCAAACCATTTTTATTTTTTTTTTTTTTTGTAATTTAAATCCTTTTCTTTCCAGGGCGAATCAGATTAGCAATAAAAATAATGTCAAACAATGAAGTAAAGCTGAGTCTCTTCTGCAAAGGCTAGAACATCCCACCAGAGACAGCTGAGCCACAGAGAAAAAGCACACTGCCTTTATTCACTGAATGGTGAATAAATGGATGCTTATGCTGGCTGTGATTTGTTTCTATTCTCATCTTTATTTTCAGTAACTTTCACTCTTCTCTGTGTTGTGTTTGGTTTTGGGTTTTTTTTTTTACTTTGGTTTCATAAGGAAGCAAAAGTTACAAAATAAATCCATTTGTGCGTGTATGAGTGCCTTTCAACTTGCCCATCTGGTGTTCTTACTGTGGCAACTGATTTCATCCAAATTTACCACGAAGGCACAGTTCTCAAAGGTAATTGTGTTCCAATATGTTTTGTGAAAATAAGTGCCTGAAGAGAGGGGCAAGACCTTGTTAATGTTTTGAGCAAGGGGCAAAACTTCAGGGAGTTGAATTCATTAGGAATTATAAACGTACCCCCACCCCCCCCCCCCAAAAAAAAAAAAAAAAAAAAAAAGCGAGAGAGAGAAAGAAAAAAGAAAAGGAGGGAGAGAGCTCAGAAGAAACTCACAGTGCTGCAGCTTTAGGAAACACTTATAACTACCATAAGACTGAAATCCTTATGAAACCATGTCGTTAACTCATGGACCTCTCTGTGTTTCTGCTTTGCTGAATGTCTCTGTAAAGCAGTAAGTAACCTATAACATCTGAGAACAAATCAAACTGACAATCCAAGCAGCAGTGAAACTAGATCACCCTGTTTGTTATTCCATGGCTAGTCATGAGAGAAACGTGGAGCTTGTTTCACAAATTGAAACATCCCAAATTATCAGCAGGCTTGTGACCACTCTGCATTTTTGCTTTTTATTGGCAGTTAACTGAAGTCAAACAGGACCAGACCAAGCCTGTTACTTCATCTCTGCTTGGCTGGAAATGTCACTGTGGTCTGATTGTGCTCCTGGAAATATCAGACATGGCTTTATATAGGAGGATGCTGGATCCAGAGGCAATGATTTGTGAGTTGATCCTACTACTTGTGGGATGAATTCCCTTTGGAGTCTACTGCTTGCTCTGCACTCTGAAGGACAGGCATATGTGAAGGGAACAGTGATGTAAATGTTCTGGAGTTAACTCTGGATAATGTTGTTTTCATGTCCAAATTTCCATATAATCCCTGCAATTTCAATTGTATGTTTAGGAAGAAGTAGAAAAAAGTAAAATATTTACTTTTAAATAAAAGTAAATTTAAAAGGGAGAGCGGCTCCCTTCTGGTAAATATATCTGTCTTGCACAAATGCCAGATATTCCAGGGTAACAAGTGAGTTCTCCTTGTCTAATCCCTAAAGAGCAGCTCTGCTTGCTGACAAGGCAGCAGTTACTGGGCTGGGGCAGTAAGTGGTCTATTTTCTGCAGCTTCTCTTGAAAGATGATCCTGAATTTTGCATCCCTTTAACTCTTGTGTTCATGGCAGGCACTCTCCTGGTCATATAACAATACAGCTACCAGGTAAGTACTTTAATGGCCAAAAAGCAGGTGCCTAAATGTGTGCTTACTGAAAGCCATTTCAGAGGTGAAATTTGGGATTGCCTCACAGATGCAGCTTTTAGGGTGAATGCAATTTGGGAAATGCACAGAGAAGCCCTGTAAAGGCTCTGTCCTCCTGTATCCTGCCATAAAGTGGTGCATGCAACCAGTCACTGGGGATTCATAGCTCTGTGTCTGACCAGCTTGTAAAAACTGACTTGGCTGTTGGTATTTTACTGCTGTTGGAGGTACCTGCCTGAGGCCATGGTGCTCTGCAGGACCCTGCTGAGAGAAGGGCCTTGCCTGTGTTAATTTGCAGCCTCAACAGAAACGTGCTTGGGAGAGAAAATGGGAGTCCCTCTCTCTTTGGCCTTGAACCAGTTTCCCTGTACGTGGCTTGGTGAGAAATTCAGTGGCCCAGGAAAGACTATGTTGCAGTGTCAAGGATGCTTTGGCTCATGGGTGTTAGAAATGAAGCCCTCTCCTTTACAGTTGCTGTTTGCAGGAGTTTACACATAAAAAGTATAAAACTTACTGTTGTAGCATTTTGTTTTACAAACCATGAGGCCTGACTGAGTGTTCCTGGTACCCTTCACCCATCATCCATCAGTTGGTGTGGGGCCAGGGGTGCCTGGTGCCCTCAGAGCCATTGTGCTGCCCAGAGCCAGAGGAGCTCCAGGCTGTGGTGTGTTGTGGCCATATGGCTTTTGTCTTTGGACAGAGACTGAATCTCCTCCTGAAAACCATGTCAGGGAAAAGAACCTGCTTCTTGGTGTGAATTGATTCCTGAGTAAGCCTACCAGACCCTAGTTAGAGGGGTGTCCCCCATGGCAATTTGTTGCCCATCTGGCTGAGTAAAGATGGTAGATAGGCAGTGTTGCAAGCATAGGTCATGGCTGTGTGCTGTTCCAGCCAAAACTGTAAAAAACAGCTGTAAAACAAGATCAGCAAGGGAGGATTTTGTTGCTTTGTTGCTCAGGCCATTTTGGGGGAGGAAGGAGTGAAGAAGCTGGGCTTGATGCATTGCAGGCTACCTGCATTCTTTCCCCAGGCTGGGTTCTTCACAGTGCAAATCCCTTATGCTCTCTTATCAGCAATGGAAAGGTGTTTTATTACTGGGTTGCTGCTGGCTGCTCACCAAGCACCCTTGAGACAGGAATCGTCACTCAAGCTAAATTAAAGAGTGCTTGAATACATACAGGGGAAGGAAAAACAAACTGTTGGGAACTGAATCCAGAACACCTGACATTCAGAGCTGCCTGGTTGACATCAGCCTTTTCCCCCTCCCCTAATCAGGTGCCCCTCTTGCAGATGAAATCTGGGTTTCCAGAGCTATCCAAAGGAGTTAGGCACCCATCTTCTTTAGAGTGGGATGCCTAATGTCAGAATTCAGGATTTCTGCAGTTTCCCCTGACTGCCACTAGTTCTTTGATGCCTTTGGGTACAGTTAACTTGCATCAAGTACCCTACTCTGTGCAGTAATCCCCTCTCACAGCTCAGTGATGCTGCAGGCTGTGGAGATGTGCAGTTGATCAAGCTGGGATGGGATGAATTGTGTAAGCCAGGACAGGGTTATTCCTGCAGGCATTAAGATATTTTCTGATGCAGCAAGGCCAGGGAAACTCTGCTTCACACCCCACCTTCCAGTCAAGGTGCTGGTGCACAGGCTCTGCTGTGTTTGCCATATGAGGTCCCCAAGAGAAGCTGGGGTGAGATGCTGAGGAGCTGTGACTCCCATCATTTGCAGATTATCCCCATACACAGCCTAGAGCAGGGCAGGGCCTCCCTTCTCTCACAGTGGTTTGAAGCAGTCCCCAACAGGAATATAATACAGGAATTTTGTTTTGTGGGAATTGTAATCTTCAGCTTCCGCTTCTCTTTGGGATGAGAATGTATGGATCTGGCAAGGAAGTGAACAGTTTGGCAGCTCAGCAAACCTTGGCTGTGAATGGAAACAAATTGTATGGTCTGCATCAATGTTCAGGCTGAGGAGCGATGGGGTCTGTCCATGCACCAGTGGTCTGGGACTATGGTGAGGCAGGCAGGCAATAAAGTGTGAGATGCCTGGAGTACTGAAAAGTTTTGGACATCTTATATACTGCCTGTTGTAACCCCACCAGAGCTTACACTTATCCTCTCATGGGGAAGGAACAGTCAAGTTCCCTTGAACTGTTGTTTTGTCTCCTCTCATTATGTGAAGCCAATACCTGCCAGGAGCAGACCTATGTGTATCATGGAAGAAGGATTTTCCCAAGGAGAAAAAAAGTTAAATCTTTTGCGTATTTTCCCACAATTTTGAATTTTAGATAACTGGGAAAATGTATATTTATAGCATCATGTCAGCAATTATTAATACTGTTGCAGAAAACATTATTTTCTGCCAGAAAAAAATCTTTCAAATTTATTTTACTTAGCTGTGTGTTTGTCAAACAATACCTGAACAACTACCTGTGCTGAAGGAGGAGGAGAACTGTGTGTAGAAAAGGGGAGGGTATTTATCAACAGCCCTGGTAAGGGAGCTGGATGGATCCCTGCTGAATTCCCTGTCATCCAAGAGCCCCTGTGGCAGGTAAAGGAATGCAACCCTCCATTCAAAAATGTCGTGCCCCCAGGCATTATCTATCCCAAGATTTTGAGGCCGCTATTTAAATATGTGTGCCTTTGAATCTCTTGTCCTTGATAAATGCTAGCAAACTCCTTTGTTAAACCAACCCTGACTTTGACCCACATCTTTGAACCACAAGAAACACCAGGTGCCATCTGTCTGCAGCATGCAAACAGCGTGGACATGGGAAACCACCGGAGCTTTGGGTGGGCTGGCTAGATGCTCTTCCCTCCTGCAGCCACAAGACCCCTCTGCTGGTGGTGGTGTGTGCCCTGTGGCTGTGACAGAGCTTTATGAATGCTGGAGATCAGGCTTTCTGTGCATTTGCTGAGCAGCTTAGTAGGACAGGATAAATATCTGGGGACAACATCTATCATCATGACAAACCTCTCTAAACTCCTCCAGAACCATGTTCCCTCTAAGCAGCACTGGGCTCCTGGTGTAATTAGAGTCCACACTCGGCCCCTGATCTGTTTTCAATTTGCTGATAATGATGGAATTTATTTATTGGTCTGGGTGCAATTGCAAATCAAGTTGGCTCCCTGCAATTGTCTTGTTCAGTCTCTTCCTTCAGTGAGGAGCAGTGTTTTGGTCCCACCCACAAACATTAGTGTGCAGTGAAGGAGGACCAGGAGGGATCATGACAGCTTTCCAATTCCCTGCTAATATGCTTGATTTTGGTGTTTGCAATGCCAAGTCTGGATCCTGATCAGAGGCCAGCAGCACTAGGAAGGAAAGGCCTTTGGCAGAGGGGTTGGAAAAGGCTGCTGGAGCAATCAGTGCAAGAACAGAGCAAAGGCAAGGGTCAGGCAGATTTTGCTGCGTCCATGCAGCAGTTGAATGAAACTGGGAACTGATCACCAGGGCCTGGGGGCAGAGAGAGTATTTGCACTCAAGGGCACCTCACCCTACCACAGCTGCAGCAGAGGGATTCAGTGCTTTTACCTTGTTACTTCTTGCAGGAGTTTGAGCCCCTTGGATTTGAGAGATACAGCAAAAGTGCCTCTATTTCTGCCCCACAAGGGCTGGGAGTGAGGATGGTTTAGCAGTGGTGTCAGACCCACAGAACATGCCAGGGTGAAGGAACAAACCAGCATCTTCTGTTACAGGAATGCCCAAGATGCCCAGCTAGCAAATGGCTTGTTGCGCTGTGCAGGGATGAATCCCTCAGGAAAGGGATTGCCACTTGGTATGGAGTACAAAGGTGGCCATTTTTCTCTGGTAGCTGCATGTGCTATATTTTCCCCGTTTTACAGCATCTTGCTTGCTTTGCCCCAGTCTGAGTCCTAGGATGCATCAGAGTGTGTTTTAAAATCTCTCTAAATAACCTTGTGATTTCACTGTCTCCCCCAGTATTGGTAACACCTCTAAATTAAGTTTCATCTGTGAATATATTTCTTCCCTAAGGAAATTGCTTTTTTCCCCAAAGCATGCAGTGTTTTTATGGTGAAAGAATAAATATATAAAGGCAGATTGCAGGAGTGAGTGAAGACCAACAAACTTTGTCGAATGCTTTGGAGTATCTCCAAGGCTGGACAAGAAACCTGGATATTGAGGGATAGTTAATTGGCTGGAATGCTCCAGAGACAGGGGGTGTCTGAACATTTGAAGACACTCAAATTCCTGTCAGCTCATTCTTCCAGGCCAGAACTGAATCCAGAAATTTTAGCAAAGGACTTTATTACCAAACTAAAAATCAGGCTGCAGAAATATAAATGTAACTCAATAATAAAGTACTGCAAACAGGTTTTTTTTACTCTGTATGTGACTTTGGGAGTCCAATGGTTCTGAGAAACTTGGTATTCAGGGCCAAACTCTGGTCTCCTATGGACCCAGAGGAAAGTGTGCATTTATATTCATTTGTGTGCATATTATGTATTTATCAGTTTTCATCTGCTAAACACATACAAATCTATTGTGTACTCAGAAACAAAGGATGGAATTTTATCGCTTGCTAAATTAACCTCCCTAAAGCTGGAGAAGACACAAGTGTAGAGTTTTTCCTAGGAGTTTAGCCTAAGGGCTAAAGTTAATATGAAAAATCATAGATT